CTATTCAGTCATTGAATGTCTACTTTGATTGTTTGTTTTTAATTATGCACAAAGCTACACAAGGTCTATCTGTGCTCTGCCTACCACGGGTATCGTAACCCGGATTCTTGTGTTGTAAGTCCGCAGACAATACCGCTGTGCCACTGGGGGGCGTCTACTTTGATACAGATACTTGTGACCTAGTGAACCTATCTCATTATACATGTAGATGTTTAATATAACATGTATTTTTCACTTTGACAGCATTAAGTGTATTTGTATTCCATCTTAATAATAATGATCTTATTTGATATAAAATATGCAAACATTTTAGCTAAGACTGTACAAAGATAAATTACAACGTTAAATCTTTACTCAGAAAAAAAGAAAAGGTAAGGTGTTACTTGTTAATGTGATTTGAACATGAATAATGAATTATGTATAAGGTTTAGTAACCTAGAAGAGATATTTATATTTTCGGGGAAATGATTAGATTACACAAAAAATCCTATTTTTATTAAAAAAGGGGAATCTGCTCTACTATACTATCCAAAAAAACAAACGCAATGCTTGTTTTACATAAAGTGTTTTATTCTGATAGCATTTCATAAAATTATGTACAAACACCACGTGTTTTCGTTCTTTATCATTTGAAAACCAAAGTTTTCTTTTTTGTCTCGTACTTGCAAAGAATTAGGAACTCTTTCAACATGTAGCTACTTTTAAATTATGTTAACTTACGCTGAAATAGATCTAATGTGTTTTATTACGTGTGTAATCTTGTTATTGTTTGAGATAAACTTAATGTTGTTACTAACGATGAAAAGATATCTAAAGATAGCATTTTGGTTGCATATTGTGCTTATTTATATAGTTAAAATTCGAGTTAGTTGTTGAGATTTATGCTACTGTATTATGATCATGCTTATCTAGAAGGAGATAAATAAGTGTGAATTATGGAGCAGTCATATGACATGAAAAATCACGTGAAGGAGGTAATATGAGTAATTTTGAACTTTGACCTGTGAACCAAAAAGCAATCTGTGTCTACGTGTTAGACTTGTAGTGGTTTGACAAGTTTTTCAAACAAAATAATTTTTTGCAGAATAATACATGATGTTATCTGGAATATTTCATGCTGTTTGTAAAAACTATTTGCTATAAGTAAACAAAATATTAAACTACTATTTACATCTTGTCTCAAAGATGATTGTAGCTTCGAAGTTTGTTTCACTGAAAAATATATTCGACATTTAGTTCTACTTGAGGGTAGGTTGTCACGTTTTTTTAACCCTTCATACGTATTTGTTCAGTGAAAATAATACAACAACTATTTCAACTTGATTCGTTGGCAACTATCGTGATTCTTCCATGACCGAACGGTTTACTTAAAATTTAATTGATCAATTTATACCCCTTAAAAAAAAGGTAAAATATCGGCTGAATATCAGTAAAAATTCCTACAAACTAAAGTTTTGAAAGATCACAGAAAATGAGTGCTGGGATCAAGCAAGACCTTGACGTCCAGATTTCCAATTACGGATGTTCCAAAAACACTGTAGGCTTCAAATATAATTCCCAATTTTTTTCCGTACACTTATTTGCCTTATAAAGAGTATCAAATTAACATAATAGTTGCTTCAAATTCACCAACTCAGAATAAAAAGTGTATTTTTATCCAATATGAAATGTTAATTCCACTATTTAAGAAATATTTACATATGCTATAATGGTGTATCGTTGCATGCAAATGCAACCCATATTGATACAGGCGACATGTTTGTTACCTACACATTTGTTTCGTGGTGAGTTATCAACCATTTGGCAATACTTCCACTGAGAGTTTTGTGTCTAGATAAACACACGTATGTCACAACTCTTTCTAAGGAAGGATATTCCTATAACGAAATTCTTAAACACGAGGTAGAATTTAGAAACACAACATTTGGAAGAAGGAAACTTTCAATGTTCCCCAGGAAGACTCTCAAGCAGAACGTTTAGGACAACAACTAGCTTCAAAACCACTCTCCAACTTAATCAGGAGGAACAGGTTCAGCTACGATCATGCAGGAGGTTATTATTATTAACTTGTAGTTGATGAGGCTACTATCACTTAGAAGATTGTTGCTATTAAGTTATAATGGAAAGATATGACCTCGAGGCTAATGTAGTTTTACTTGTAGTGAATGGAGCAATAATATTGTATCTTGTTCCTATATCATCTGTTAGTAGATAGGTATGATTTTCAGGCTAATATTTTAAACTTGTAGTGAACGGAGCTATAATGTGGTAGATTGTTCTTATTAAGTTATGGTTGAACGGTATAATCTTGAGGCTAACTTGTTTAACTTGCAGCAGATGGCCTACAATAAAGGGTTATTATTTAGTATTATGCACATACTTGTTTTATTACTTAATGATAAACCAATATTCCTACTTCATTAAGGGTTCTTTTACTTGTGGAGAGTGTATCGAGGGATTTGTTGGGAATCAAACCATTGGTTGCAGCCCCAACCCAGGGACTTGTCCTGACGGTACTGTCTGTGATGGAAATGCAGACTGTGAACTATTGAGGGGTAAAACAACTTATCGGTGTAAGGTAAGTCAGTAACTGAGGGGATCAAACAGCTTATCAATGTAGGGTGAATCCATAATTTAGAAGGCAAACAGCTTATCAATGTAAGATAACTCAATAAGTGAGGGTTGAGACAACTTATCAGTGTAGAGTAAGTCAATAAATGATGAGTTAAACAGGTTATCGTTGTAAAGTAAATCAATAACTAACGTGTCAAACATCTTATCAATGTAAGGTAAGACAGTAGCTAAGGGGATCAAACAACTTATCAGTGTAAGGTAAGTCAGTAACTGAGGGGATCAAACAGCTTATCAATGTAGGGTGAATCAATAATTGAGGAGGCAAACAATTTATCAATGTAAGATAACTCAATAAGTGAGGGTTGAGACGACTTATCAGTGTAGAGTAAGTCAATAAATGATGAGTTAAACAGGTAATCTTTGTAAAGTAAATCAATAACTAACGGGTCAAACATCTTATCAATGTAAGGTAAGTCAATAACTGAGGGATCAAACAGCTCATTAATATAAGGTAAGTCAATAAATGAGGAGTCAAACAGGTTATCAATGTAAAGTAAGTCAATATTCGAAACGTGTCCGAAAACATAAAACTTTATGTATTTTTAGCTGTGACGTCAACTACAAAATATGGAAGAAAAAAAACAACGTGTTTTTTGCATTTCCTAAACGTACTCTTGAATTTAAAACGGAAAATCTGGAAGTCATTAGAATGTAGACTGTACCACTCTCAAACATATCCACGTCATCAGCTTATTTATGCAGTTTCTGTGTGTGCTAAAGTTTGTTTTGATAAAAGTTTGACTACTTGTTTCATGCGTTCATGTGTATAGGAAAATACGTGGACCCCCCGCCCCTCCCCCTTCTCAAAAAATAAAATAAAAGAAGAAAAATCTCGATACTTAAAACTATTTACGTTTGCATTATGAATTCTTAACTTAGTTTTTTTATGAATCGCCTAGTCCCACAGATTTAAATTGTTGTTTGAACACTTAAAGACACCCACCTGAATTTGAAATGAGGGTGAATTTGTTTTTTAGAGAAACTTTCCTGTTAATACTTATAAAATGTTTTGACTAGGTTGATGCCTCATTTATACATCATTGAAAACTAACATCGATAATTTTTTTACATCTATTTTCCCTTTCAGTTACTAGTATAGTTAAGTTTATAATACCCGGACTCCTAAAACTGGTACGTACGCAATACGTACTATACAAAATTAAGTGTTTTCTTGAGATTTAAGACTTTTTACTACACATACTAACTTATTTTGAAACGGTGAATGGTACGTAGATGGCATTACATGGGTTTTCCTACTTTTCTTATCACACACAGTCCGCTGCGTTTTAAGAGAGGAAAATTAAATTCCCTAAACACGGAGTTCATAAAGGCTTCTTGACGTTGATACTTACAGCTAGGCACCTAGGATTGTTGCATCTCAGTTCATAGTCTGGCCAGCCGTCCAGGTCTTTGTCCGGACCGCAAACCTTCCCATCTCCTGCCCAGCCAACACGGCACTCGCAAAGTGTAATCAGATAACCAGCTGTGATGACATAAAAGTTAGTTGCTAAATTTAGTTTATTTCTGTATAAAAGAGAAGCCCTCTTTCAAAGAAAGATATAATAGAAAATTAAATATCTATTGCAAAGCAAAAACGACAGAAAAACACAGAGCTTTATATGTTGCAATTTCTGATTTGATATTTTTGTAACTTCTGCTGTTTATATAGAACCGTGTTTTACAATTCCCTATGCCTACACAGAATTGTTCTTTTTTCTAATCTGAAGACAGCTGTGTGATTTTCAACCACACCACATAAAATATTATTTTGTATCTTCAGAAATATACATACAACTATATACTTAGTTCACTAAAAATTATATGACGCCCATCCTATCATCGATTCACCACTTATCAGTGATTTATACCGGTTTCGGGGGATTCCACCTCTATCTGTGGCCCCAAGACAAAGGGAAATCAAAAGAACAAGGCCATGCTTCATATAATGATAATGGTAGAATATATACTATATGTATGGTGTTTTTAGTTGTATTTTACTCACTACAGTAAACCTATAGTTGTAGAGGAATGGAAGACAACTATGTTTTATTACTCCAAAGTCTACACTCAATTTTATCTTTTGTAGACTCGACGCCTACACATAACTCCGTGTTTTGCAACACATGATGTCTACACATCACTTCTTGTCTTGTAACTCTTAATGTCTACCAACAAACAGCCTTATTGTTTGCAATGCTGATGGCTATATACAACTCTACGTTTTGAAACTCCGATGTTTACACACAACTATGTGTCTTGAAGTCTCTGATGTCTACATACAAACTTAGTGTTTTCCAACCATGATACCTATGGCCAACTGTCTTTTCAATTCTTGATCTCTGCACACAACTCTGTGCTTTGCAACCCCAAAATCTACAAAAAACCTTTTCTGTAACCCCTGATAACTACACACAAATCCATGCTTTAAAACCCTCACTGTCTTCGCACAACTTTGTGTTTTGTAACCCCAATATGTAAATACAGTTATGTTTTGCAGCCTCTGATGTATTACACTCAACTTTAAGTTTTGTATTCTTTGATGTCTAATCAAAACTTTATGTTTTGTAACTATTCTGTAATCCCACTGCCTAATATAACTTTATGTTTTGTATCTCTTCTCTAACCCCACTGTTTAAACATAACTTTATATTTTGTAACTATTATATAACCCCACTGCCTAATATAACTTTGTTTTTTGTAACCCGATGTTTGTAAACAAATTTATTCCATAACAAAGAAAAGTCAGAAATATATAAAGCTAACATTGTCCTTGAAATATAACAACAAACTAACAAAGAAATATATAAAATTAGCCTTGTCCAATAATGCATTTTTTTATTTAAAATTTAGTGCCTGCTGAGATTGTTTTCTTGTTTTATGAGACATTGTTTGATTGTTGTAACAATCACTAAAGTTCGTCTATGTGCGTCGTGTAACATCTTTCATTATACTGAAGTGTTTCACCCATATAACACATAACATTCTTGATTAACAGATTTGTTTTGTTTAGGACAACTGTCCAAATATACCAAATAGTGGACAAGAAGATGCTGATGGTGACAAAATCGGAGACGCTTGTGATGAAGACGCAGATGGGGATGGTATCGTCAATGATCCAGTATGTCGCTTTAATTTCACATTTCTTTCATAAGATCACTTTTGTTATGTCACAAATTTAACGAAAACATTAGGAAAAATATGGCATGTGTAGAGCGGTTACATTGTCAGCTGCTGCTTTCTGGTATTCCTATTTTTTTTATATCTTCGATTCCTTTTCCTTTTCAAATCTTTGATCCATAGACATAACATTTAATTAGCTCGTTTATCCTTAAGAAATAGTATTAACATCTTGAACATAATGTTTTAAGGTAATTTTCAAAAGCTTTTATTTAGTATTATACAGTAATTTTGAATTTTTCTTTATGTTGAATAGAAAATACAAATTATAATTCATAGGAATTAATTTCATGATGTCTACACACAAACACACACACACATATATATATAAAAAGAGAAAGAGAAAACAATAAATTATAAATCATGTAACATATTTAATGATGAACTGAATATATATGTTAATAATCTGTACTATATTTAAGCTCCAAAATTGGTAGAATAGCAAACACAATATGTAACAAAGAAGGGTAAATATATATATATATAGCATATATAATATTAGATTTCAAATTTTTGACCATTTGCTGAAATAATCTGCATATGTTCTATGGAATTATGGGTACGGAACCCGATCTGGATCCAAAGTATTTTTGTAATTTCTTATACGAAGCAAAAAGCTCTTCAGAGAATTGAGAAAAATGCTTAAATAAAAACATTAAATGATTCCTGATGCTGGTGGCAGATTATGCACACAAGTCACTTTAAGATAGATAGATTTCTCTAATCATGATTCTAATGACGAATATTAATTTGAGAGCAGCACTTGGTTGTTGTTTTTTGCCTTAAAGAGAAAGTTTTTAGAAAATAAAATCATATTTTGAGATGTTTTTGTTACCTTTAAGCTAGAAATAGATCACATGGATTAGCTTACACTGACATACGTGACATTTCTTAGAAATAAATCTTGGTTTAAATCGTATTTTTGTTTCCTTAATTTCAAAGCGTATATAAACTGTGTTAAAATAAATTTAGCTAGGCATACATTGTACAAAACATGTACAGAATAATGTAACGAATTTATAAGTCGAAAATGTTGATATCAACGACGATAACAAACTGATTAATCAATGCATTCTAATCATTATAAGTTTTAGTTTGATGATATCCCACACTCCTTGTTATACATTAGCTACATTATTTACTGGGCTAATTTATAATTTTACTACGTGTAGGTAGCTTGCTTTCGATCAGAAGTCATTGACGATTTCAATGTAATTGTATTTCAACAAAATCTGTGTACTAATGAGACTGATATATATTTAAGACATTTTATATATTATTTAACACTAAAAACTTAGTTACAAAAATCTGACTGTACAACTCTAACTTTTATTAACTTGTAGTAAAGTCAATTCAGTGTCTTTATAATTCTACTGAAGGAATGAGAGCCATGCTTACATACTGTTAATTGGAACGGAAGAGGATGTGATAATCCAGACCAATGCGTTTTGTAAGAAGATACTTTCATTTACAAACAAAACCCACCGTCGTTGTCAGCATCAGGGTCGCATAGGTCTCCATAGCCATCGTTGTCGGAGTCCGTCTGTTCAGGATTGGGAATTTGGGGGCAGTTGTCGCAAGCGTCCCCGAGTTTATCTGGACCGTCTGGGTCAGTATCTTCTTGGTTAGGGTTAGAAACTAGAGGACAGTTATCCTGTGTTAAAAAAGTCAGATTCTATACTCTAGTATTCAGTTAAACATACTCAGAAGACAAGATAAATTCAATAATGATCATTTCAACATTTATCTGTAAAGTTTGTTTATTTGTTTGTTTTGTAATTAAGCACAAAGCTACACAATGGTCTCTCTGTGCTCTGCCCACCACGGGTATTGAAACCCGGATTCTAGTGTTGTAAGTCCGCAGACATACCGCTGTGCCACTGGGGGCTACCTGTAAAAAGGTCTTAGAACCAAGTTTTTTCTGCAAAAGAAACTTTCCCTATGTTTGCCTTCAGTTGTCTTTGTTTGTTATCTATTTTTTTATCTGTCATATTTTTATACGTATGAGTTTTCTGTGTGTCACGAAGAGTTTGTACACCACATATTCACAGCTTACTTGCCAAACAATTCACTTGAAACATCTGCGATACACATACTTTTAATCAAACATTTTGTCATTCGTTTAATAATACTTTATTTATAAAAAATAACATTTTAAATCTTCTTGCAACAAATAAAGAAACTTCCCAATATGTGACACGACACTTAAGACATACCTGAGAAGGATTAGGAACGTACGGACAGTTGTCACATACATCACCCAGCTTATCCCCATCTGAGTCTCGTTGGTCAGAATTTGGTATGGTAGGACAATTATCTAGCACGTTCTGGATACCTGTAATGTCGACCCAGGTTTGTGTCACACCTATGAATGTTAATCAGTATGATATTAGCCATGGCACATTGATAATGTTATTCAACATGATAGCATCCACGACACATCGATAATGTTAATCAGCATGATAGCAGCCACGACACATCGATAATGTTAATTAGCATGGTAGCAGCCACGACACATCGATAATGTTAATTAGCATGGTAGCAGCCATGACACATGGATAATGTTAATCAGCATGGTAGCAGCCACGACACATTGATAATGTTAATCAGCATGGTAGCAGCCACGACACATTGATAATGTTAATCAGCATGATAGCAGCCACGACACATGGATAATGTTAATCAGCATGATCACAGCCATGACACATCGATAATGTTAATCAGCATGATAGCAGCCACGACACATCGATAATGTTAATCAGCATGATAGCAGCCACGACACATTGATAACGTTAATCAGCATGATAACAGGCATGATTTTTGTATAATTCTTCTACAGTTCATGTTTATTATTTTTTTGTTGTGATTTACACACAGGTTTGGAATTTCTGGTTTATCTAACGTTTAGCTGTTTACATGTTATTGTGAGAACTCACAATCGATTTAAAACCATTTCTTATTTTGTTTTTCATTTTTCATAGCTATCCAATTTCAATTTACCTTTCTAAGCTGCATTGAAAACGACAAATCGATAATAATTTCGAATATATATATACATATATATACATACATATAACTACATTTCTATTCAAAGTATGATTTCATCTCTTTGCATAAAATTGATTTAATAATCAATAAAAGCTATTTCAGTCAGCTGGCCAGATTTCAAAAGGGGCTTAGTTAATGAGACAAGGTAGAAGAAATTATTTTATAGCAATGATTTTGTATATCAGTGGGCATTATCATCAGAGTAGATGTAGTCTCTGAATGGGGCGCAGTTTGGTTTATAGAACGTTTGTGTATATGTGGAGGCATAATATAATTTAATTTTTCATTTTGGAGACGCCGAAAGATTTGGTGATTGTAGACACAAATTAATATTTATTTGGTAACGAAACATAAATATAAATTTAGTAAATAGGTTAACATAAAATATTTACATTATCTTTGAAATCTGGAAGATGAAGCTGCAGTTTTAAACATCCTTAAAATTATTAATCAAAGAATGGTAAATCCTTTCAAACTAGAAGGAGTGAGCCCAGGAAAGAAAAACAAATCTTATAAAAATTGTAAAATCCACTGCTTCCTCTGATTACATAGGCCTGCGATGGTTTTATTGTCTTGAAATTTTTACACGTTCTACAGTAATTCCTATACGCTGAATCCGAAAGTGATATCCATTTTCCCCCATCACGTACAGAGTTTTTACAAAACTTCATAACGCAATACATAAAAGAAAGACCACAACACGTAGTTTTGTTCTTCCATTTTCCTCAGTTTGTTTGTATTTTTGTTAACAAACATAATGATAAAAAATTTTCATTGTGGTTCTACGTAAGAGTTTTTTTCTTCCCGACTTTTAAAATTTCCTTACGTGATCGAAAAAATGAATATTATTTTCGAAATCTGTGTAGCTGAATTATGGAAAATCTGTTATTAAAACCAAAACAACTTTTGTGAAGTTTAAATTCGAAGGCTTGTGAAATATAACAAGACTGAACAGGTTAGAGAGAGACTTCTTTGAACCTTTAAGATAGGTCAATTTCAGAACCTTGATGAGTTTATAGATTACGATATCAAACGATATCAAAGAATTGTTCAAGTTTGATATGACTCCTATCCCTCTTTCTCTACTCAATTTAGACGGGTTTTTTTAGAAAGATAAAAACAGTAACATGATATCTTGGCTAAAAAAGGTGGATTTTACAACGTCAACGTTACTGGAACTATTAAAGTAGCGTCTGGTAGTTACTCTGTTGTGCTATAATTTGTATCAGATCTCTAGGAAACGAATTAACGTAAGTTCCTCTTGATGATAAGCAAAGAATTGGAATAAACAAGGTATTAATGCGGATCATTGACATCAGATGTTGAAGCCATGTCTCCAAGATATTACTTGAATCATGGAATATTAAGAATTCTATTTCAAAGCTGGTACTATTCAACGAAAAATATTTATTCCAACGCACAATTTGACTGAAGAATCAGGAAAAGAAATGAGCATGGTGTTGCGTTGTCAGTCGTCCATGGTTTCAGTGTGTGTAATTGTACGTCAGCATTCTGTGACTTAAGAAAAGAAGTAGAGCTCATTCAGAACTATTAGAAAGGTTGAAATGTCTGGAAAACAGTGCATTATAGATAAACAGTAAAACTGAGAACGCTTATGTGTCATCAGTATTGTTGATATACTATGAAGAGAAACAAGAAACAATAACATACAAAATGTTCTAACACTAACAAAATAAAACAATTGAGCAGCTACTATCAACAATGGACTCTTTTTATGCAGCTTTTAAAAAAGGCAACGTTTTAATCTTATATATATGGACTCGTGTTACTGTTAAATGTCCCAACAGGTGAAAATAGATGGATGAGAGACAGTGCAAGGCATATTGTTTCATTAATACTTGTGTGTAATATGATTGTCAACAAGAAGATGCAAATGTTAAATGGAAAGTATTGTATGCGCAGATGCGCAAATGCAACATTGTCATGTGTAATAATAATAGAGTACTGTATGTATATGACTCAGGTTCTAATGTTGACTGAAGAAGTTCAATTATACGGTGTATATACTTTGATTTACATTTTTTATATTACCAATATATATTAGATTTCATTTGACACCTAAATAGCATTACGGTTTTGATTAATGTTACATGAGATAGACCTGTAACGATTTTTGCCAACATGAGCTAACATTTCTTTTAACTTTAATTAGGGTAACTACTCGACTGTCAGTAGTAGCTTTGTCAACCTGTACTTATCTGGAATAGTTATTATTGTGAAATAAAAACTCTGATTAGAATAAGTGTATTCGTGCCCTTCAGATAATTACTACATTAAAAGATATTAAATCTACCTTGTCTGAAGCAAAAAATGGGTACGTCCTCCTCATTAATCATCCAACTACTTTAAATTACCCTTCATACGCCATCAAAATTGTGGAATGTTTCAAAATTCTCCCATTTCTCGCTTAAAATAATGTCTTCTATTGTGTCAGTAGTAAAAGAACGGACTTATAACTCTAAAATCCGGGTTCGATTCCCCGTAGTGGACAGATCTTAGATAGCCTATTTGTACAGTTTTGTGTTAAAACAAACGCTTAAAATAAAAGGAACCATGGTTCATGGTACAGGTATATCTAAAATATTGTGACACCTTCTCAAGATGACATTTTCCTATTTATTTGTTATTTTATAATCAGATTGATGCCGATAAGGATTTGGTGGGAGACCATTGTGACAATAACGTTGATAGGTAAGTTGTCAATAGAGAAGTCACTTTTAGATGTAGTTTGACGGATTTATAAATTATATACTCAAAATTTAATTCATCTTAAAATAAATTATTTTTGTGTAGTTCTTAGTTAGGTAATTTTTGTAACTTTGTGAAAATACAGTCTTATATACATTAAACGATTTACTACTTGTAGACGTATTATTGATGTTCTTAGCCGTAACATTATATTATAAGAGTAATCCCTTAACAACTATAGAGTTTATACATTGTTGTTGCTACTTGTTTTTAGGGACCACGATGGGATTCAAGACAACAAGGACAATTGCCCAGACTACCCTAATAGTGATCAACTAGATACAGACGAAGATGGAAAAGGTAAGAGCAAGAAAAGTGTCATAAAAGTCACTTAGGTGAATATCTTACTAACTATCACTGTGACGTAACAACAAGGAGTAGGGCATTTGAATAAGGTGTATTTTGGATGATATGTTTTCTATATTTGTCTTCTAAAGTCAAATTAAATTTTTTATCGGATTTGGTTGCATTACCGTTTTCATTCCGCCATGCTGTTTGTCTAGCATTTTCATCTTTATGAAAAGTATAATATACTAGTAATTCTAAAGTAAATATGAACTTCTTTTGGAAGAAGACAAAAGTCACTTGTGTTTATTGTTTGTTTTTACAGGTGACGCATGTGATTTTGACAAAGACAACGATGGAATTTCGGACAGCGAGGACAACTGTGCTCTAGTGTATAATCCAGACCAACGTGATACTAACGGTAAGTTAGTAATCTGAGGATTAACCTCTAATTGTATTTAGTCTAGTCAGTGTAACATTAGACTAGGGTAATGTGATGATGTATACTTTGATTTATACAAACTATGTGACACTAAAGAAGAAATAAATCCAGAACATGTAACTGACACAATCTGTAGTCAAATGAAATAAATAAGCCGGATTAGTGTTGTATATTAATTTCTGATCAACAAAAGCTACTTACACAGATCAGAACTAAAAATTAAAGCAGTAATGAATATAGTTAATCTGTTATACCAGACCAGGCGACTTAAGCAGCCCGTCATTAATGTTAAGTATACACATTGGACTAGCATCAACGAGGCAATTAATAATAGAAACGTGATGTAAACAGTGAGTTCTTAATGTTAATTATTGAAATTGAAGCAGCATAGTAAGGTAATTCATAACTTATATTCTGGATGAGTAACTCAAACAACTACTCATTAATGTAAAAAGACTATGGTGACATGTTAATGAATAACTTAAATTCAGATCCCGTAACGCAAACAATCAATTATCATAACTGAAATTCTACGCAGGAGTATACCATGAGGTTTATATGAAAATTTAGTAGGGATGAACCAATTACTAGTTCGAAGCGCTCTGTATGGTGTGATGCAGTATTATTGTCAAAGCGTTATTTTTCCTTATAGAATTCCATAAATTTCGACGGTACATAGTTGTATAGAACGTCAACATATCGTAAGTAGTTCATGGCTTCATTACATATTTCCAGTAGACCGAATGCAAAACCAGGGCGACACAGTATTACTGTCCTTACTACTTTTAGCATGTTTAATCCCATACCTACCAAGTATCTTTATGTAGTTGCAGTGTTTTGCGTAACTGCGGTCAACATTCACACACATTCATGTGGAATTTGTAAAACTGTGTGATCTAAGACTGATCTCTCCATTCTCTTGATAAAACTGTGTGATCTAAGACTGATCTCTCCATTTACTTGATAAACCTGTGTGATCTAAGACTGATCTCTCCATTTACTTGATAAAACTGTATGATCTAAGACTGATCTCTCCATTCTCTTGATAAAACTGTGTGATCTAAGACTGATCTCTCCATTTACTTGATAAAACTGTATGATCTAAGACTGATCTCTCCATTCTCTTGATGAAACTGTGTTCTGGACAATAGTTTTTATAAAGTGGGATGAATCTTGGCATTTATTGTTGTTATTCGCTGAGACTTTAACCACTGTATATTGACAACTCTAAACATGTGTTCTCAAATTATTAATTGTAAGTTATAATAATTTATACCAGAAGAGTTTGTAAAAATGTACAGTAACAATTAATAGTAAAATAGCTTTAATTACAAGTAACAAGTATGATTCTATTAGCACTCTGCCCTAAGTCATCAGTTTGGTACGCTCGCCCTTGAACTAGTAATTGGCTCGGCCATTCTGAATTTTCATGTAAATCCTATGGTACAGTGCTGCGTAGAGTTTCATTTGAGATGAAATAGTGTTGTCTAGGACCTGCCTTGTCCAGTCCTGAGCCCTGACATAAATCCAGCTGATCCACTTTGGGACGTTCTGAAACTTCACTAAAAGGACAGACAAACATACAGAAATTTCACTACACTTGGATCTGCTTGGTAATAGAAGTGCAGGTTATTTCATTACATTACACTAATAGTTAGCAGCAAGGGTCAGGCGTCAAAGATGAGTTCACAACATTTTGAAGTGACGCTCTATTCTCATATCAACGATAATTAAAAGTACATATAAATACGTTTTTTATGAATTATTTCAGCTGTATAGCCAAATTCAATGTATTTGAACAGACTAATATTGTGAAGAGAAACAGTAGAGCAGCATAATTTCTCGCTTTAAGAAAATATGTAAAAATCATAGTATTTGTGTTGACAATTAATGCATGAGCACAAGTTATTTCGTCTTGAAATTTATGTTCAGATATCATAAAAGATGCTTAGATGATAAAGTAGTGTTTTAGTGCTTCCAAAAAGCAAAAGTAAGAAAATTCTTTGAACCAATAAGCATATGTAAGGGGAAAAATCACTGATCAAAACTAGAGGATATTTTTGAATGAAAACAGATGACTCAAACATTTCATAGTTTGTAACTGCTTGATAAATACTGTACACTTGATGATATATTCTAAACTTAGGAAATGATCATTTTTATTTACCTATCAAAATAAACATGTGCTAGGAGTGGCCTAGTGTTTTACGTTTTGGGCTGCAGGTCGAAAATCTACCTTTAATGTGATACCGCTGAACAGGTGTTGCGTTTTCAGCTGTTGGTGCATTATAAAGTGACAATTAATCGTACTTAAAGTGACTTCGGGTTCTGCTGGTTGGCAGCCTTTTCTCTTGTAGGGAATTCGAAATTAGGGACGACTATAATTATATTTTACGTATCTTCGACCAAATGTTTTAGCCCACGTGCGTACGGTGCTGTTGACGCTGAAAATACAATTTGTTGATGATTTCCCCCCCTTATCACAAAATACTGTGAAAAAACAACAAAACGAAAACACAATTATTTCTTATAGTTATTTTACACGAAGTTTCTTGAAATTTTTGATGATAAATAAGCTGTGTTTTTTGTTAAGCTTTTCGTGAATTTGTTTCTCAAAATATAATCTTTTTTTACAAGAGAGCGTCAAGATAACGCCGAACTTGTATGGTGTTTCATTTTATTTGTTGAAAATGTGAAATTTTGCTTATTAGGTCTGTTTCATTATCGGAATTTGTGATTTGTTTATTCTCATGTAAAGAAATACAGCTGTGTTACTTGCCATTGATAATATAACATTAATATAAATTAAACGACAACAAGGCAACTGTTGGTTTATCTAGGACGTTTTGTTCACTAAACTAACTTAAAAAAACAGACATCCACCACCTCCACAACAACAACAAAACAAATTCGATGCCAGTCCCCATCATTCTAATATCTATCAAGCGTTCACATAAACTTCGTAAAATGTATTACATCCACTACATCTTAAGGCAACCCATTCCAAAGGTCAACTACTCCATCACAAAAATGAAACGGATACACTAACACTGCAATTTAAGTTTGGTCAATCTGAAAATACAGATATCTCAATGCATTTTAAAATTTATTGATGCTACATTCGCTTAATCAATAGATATTGTATTCTACAAAGTTTTGGGTTCTCAGCTTTACTATACAAGTTACTTAATTCTGTCTATTATCACCAGGAGCGAAACTGCCGTGACTGAGAAAGTAAACACTTCGGGTTTAAACAAGAAAAGTTTACGATTGGTTTGATTTATTTTCTGTGGCGCAGTTAAACTGTTGCGAGTGCTACGAACACATGTTCAGTACAACTTAAGTATCTTTTTTTTATACGTTTGATATATAGAAATTCGGTTGGCTTTGAGTGCATCATCAATAAACTTAAACGTACATTATTGTTTCTTTCATATTGCTGCAATACACATTTGATATATTTAATACTTATAATTTAACTAAAATATTTCGCTATTACTAGAAATCATGTAGAGAGTGTTTATGATAAATGCTGGTATAAATTGTATATATAATGACTGTGTAGAGTGTTGGAATAAAGTGTACAAAAATGTTTGTATTGAGTGTTGGTATAAAGTGTATAGAAAGTGCTTGTGTTAAGTGTTGGTATAAAGTCTATAGAAAGTGCTTGTGTTAAGTGTTGGTATAAAGTATATAGAAAGTTCTTATGTTAAGTTTTGGTATAAAGTGTATAGAAAGTGCTTATATTAAGTGTTGGTATAAAGTCTATAGAAAGTGCTTGTGTTAAGTGTTGGTATAAAGTATATAGAAAATTCTTATGTTAAGTTTTGGTATAAAGTATATAGAAAGTGCTTATATTAAGTTTTGGTATAAAGTGTATAGAAAGTGCTTATATTAAGTGTTGGTATAAAGTGTATAGAAAGTGCTTGTGTTAAGTATTAGTATAAAGTACATAGAAAGTGCTTGTTTTAAGTGTTGGTATAAAGTGTTTCATGATATTTTCTATCTAGTTGCTTAGAAAGCTTTTTAAAACTAAACAAATTACAGTATGGAATTGATGAGAGTGATGAGAAAATTCATTATTCCTTGTGAATGTAATACTTCTCTTTAGGGACTGGGGTGGGTGACGCTTGTCGTGGAGATTATGACGGAGATAACGTACCGGATCATCTGGACGTGTGTCCAGACAACAGGAAGGTGTATGCTACTGACTTTCGGGCCTACCAAACAGTTGTCTTAGATCCGGAGGGGGATTCTCAGATTGATCCCCACTGGGTGATTTACAACCAAGTAAGTAAAGTTCATGCTCTCACTAAACAACGTTCTATTAAAAAAAGAAAAGGTCAAATTAATATCTTTATTACAACAGCAATTCTTTAAACACGTGATTTCTAGATTAGTACAAAATAATTCTAATCGAAGACAACGAAATCTATAAGTACATTTTCATTAGGCTTAAAATTAATTAAGCCTTTATTACGTACGTTTTATATTCGATATAGAGATAAGTTAGCATTGCAAATTGTTTCTGTTTTTTGTTTTAGTTTAGTTAGGGTTAAACGTTACCCTGCTTAAGACCATTACTAAATAGTCTTATAATGTTATTCTAAAATCTAACGTTAGAGCTTTTCAGAAACGTTTATAAGCTTTCTATATGTTCTTGTACAAAATGTCTACTAAAGTATATTTACACCCGTTGATTACATGTATCTTTAGACAGTAAGAAGCGCACGCATTTTCAGGACAGACAAAACTGAGTGTTATTAAAATAGATACGTATCACAGTAATAAGAAAGAAACTTAAAGAGTTGACCTTAGCGTGATTAAAGCAACTATGCTGAAATGCTGACAAGTGAAGCATAAGGAAATTATACTTTTCATTTATCCACTAAATACAAACAAAACAGTGAATCCTACGAAAAAAAAATTATACTTTTCATCCAGTTTGAAGGTTCTCTTCTTAAAGTTTCTGTTACGTTAGTGCCTACGAAGATGTATAAAGCCAACGGGTATCTGTCTGAAACATTTGTCACAAGAGCTTTGCCAACAGACTTAAAAGTTTCAACAAGACCTGTTTACACTGCTCTGTTCCTCAGGTGGTAAGGAATTCTGTTTACACAGTTATTTCAGAAATTATTATAGGTAGTTTAGAAAAAAATGTATTTTTCTATAGTTTATAGATTGAACGTTGTCATACTGGATCATTTGCAATTATAGACATCGATAACGTTAAAAGCGGAAGTATTTAATTATTTTGTCCCTAAAAGTATCCACTAATGGTTACAGTAAGTACTTATGTTTTAAGATGATATATGATTTTTAAACTCCACCTACAAGATTTCACAAACGACTGGAAATTTTACAAGTAGGTTGTGTAAAAAAATGGTCGAAGAGAAAGCTAGAGTATTGAAGTTTTAAAAACACGTGAGAAGAAGAGTAGTGTGAGCTGTAGATTTCAAGAGTAAAGGAAGAGAAGAATGAGGATTGTTTTTCGATAGTGTTCAAGTGAGTCTCTTGGAAGAGACCCTTTTCAAGGCTTTGGAAGTTTTATGTTGAACTTTCCTTTAGGTGTAACTGGGTGTCATTTGTGTTTGATGTAAATACTCCAAGGTATGGTTACTTTGATAGTAATTCACTTTCCAGAAAGTGGGTAGTACCCTTCTCAGACAATACCCCCATTTGTAATAGTTACTTAAGGTTCTAGACACCTCTAAATAATATCGCTTCGGACTAATTATTGTTCCGCTTCCGTAATAGTCGCTATACCTAAAACGCAGTTATCACTATTTTCATAGAGAACACATGGTTTCTGATAACATAAATCATATGATGAAGGAATTCTTTCTAGGAGTATTGTTTAGTAGATGAAAGGAAGAGGTTGGTTAAATTTTATGTTTAGGTCTTTTAAATTAGTGTTTTCTAAGAGTAAAGAACCCGTGTTTTATGTGCTGGAGTTTAGTTGATCTGTACCGGTTTTGTTGTTTATATAACTTCGTAATTTTGTAATTATTATAAAAACTTTGCTTTGTATTCTCTGAATTTAAGGTTGTTTTTGTTTGATGTGCTTAGAAACGTTACATAGCTGTATTAAATAGTGGAGCAAAGGAATGTTTTGTACATTGATAGTTTTGCTTTAACTTGAAATATATTAAAGGACTTTCGGAATGTTTGTTTGTTTTG